TAGACCCTCCGCAGAATTAACGGTTATATGCAAGATGAGTCATGTGCGTCCTCTATCATTAATCGCGGAACTAACATCTTCCGCGCGTTGAACCTAGGCTAACAGGTTGCTCCGAATATAGAGCATTCGGTCAAGGTATTTGAGTAATTTGGCATCCATATGAGCAGTAGTTTCACCAGATCGATGCTTAAGCGTAGCAGAACACCTCGCAACTCAATTTTCAGAAGGACTAGAGTGTGACCGTGTCTATTTACATGTATTCCTTCAAGGGTTTGGTTCCCTATAACACCCGTGACTGCAAAACAACTTAATGATTATTATAAATCGATTAATTTTTCTTCAACTTCGTATCTTTAGCGAATAAAACTACTTTTAACGAAATTTGCCTCGCAATTTACTGCATAATGAATAAGTTTGTAAATCACTCTGTCGAAGGTCCCGTCTGCAGGGGGTTTAAATCCAGCTAGCGTTCGGTTTCTTAATCCAACTGAATAACTGTGATGTCATGTTGGACAGCGACATCTGGTGCCTATACTGTTACAGGATGCGGAAGTTTGTTCACTTCTATAGTCGGAGCTCGTTTGTTGTACAGTTCATTTCCACTCTCAGAGCTGGACCTCTGAGGGAAAAACACAAAATTATCGGAGGGAATTAATTTCAAAACAGCTTAACCCGATGCCTTGTGGGAGAGTTTGAATGAGAGAGATGAACAAAACTGATGTGTAACTGCTTCGAAGCTTTAATCCTTTTTAGTTAAGGCTGGTTCCATCTAAGGCCGTTTGGATGCCGTTGTGCTGGGCTTTTATAAGTTGCTGTAGAATCTACAAGTTAACATATTTCTCTCCGTAAGCTAAGAAACGGAACTCTGGTTCTAATTCGCCGGTCATTAACACTTGCTTGCAAAACCTCTCAATGTGTACAGCTGCATTTAGAGGATTCCGAAAAGCACAAAATATTGTAGTATTCAGCAGGATAATGAGATTGATCCTTGTTTTAAATACGTCGGCGCGGTTACTTTGAGTCTGGTCCAGGATGCTGTAGGTGGTGTGCCCTCGCAGCTAAGGAGGTGTATTGGTTGCCCCCTCCGTGGTGGCGGTCTCCAGCCCCACCCTGCCTTGTAGACAGTTGTGAATAACAATTGCCCTTCCTGCGAGGGCCCCACGGAGTGTTCCCTTCCCCGGTGGTAGCCTCCAGCTCCACCTTCCCCCGATTGTCTTCTTGGAGTTCAGCGTCCCAGAGAAAAGCATATCTATAAGCTGACAATAGGCAGCACCCGAACATGGATCTTCAATTTTGCCCTAATTGGTTTTAAGACATTCGTTTATCCGCAGAAGGATATCATGGCGACTAAGATTGTGAACTGGTTGGTTTGTCCAATGCACGTTTATAGCCTGCTGAGCCATTGTTCACAGAAACACCAAAAATGAAAAGTCTACGCTCGCACACCGCTGCTACCAGTGTAACGCCCGAGCGCTCTGGCTGTCCCTGGGTAGCGTATTTTCTTCCTGATTAGGGCCGGTACTCAGTCGTTCGTCTACGTCCGTTGTCTTCTGGCTGTGTCCACGCACTGTAATTCCACTAGAATGCTCGATCACAGGAACAGTCACTCGTAGAGATGATAAACCGAGGCCAAGCGTTAACACACACGTATTTATTACGAGTACAGTAGAGTAATAATGATAATAAACTGTCATACAGACGATCACACGTAACTGAAGAAGACAATCGGGGGAAGGTGGAGCTGGAGGCTACCACCGGAGAAGGGAACACTCCGTGGGGCCCTCGCAGGAAGGGCAACTGTTATACACAACTGCCTACAAGGCAGGGTGGGACTGGAGACCGCCACCACGGAGGGGGCAACCAATACACCTCCTTACCTGCGAGGGCACACCACCTACAGCATCCTGGACCAGACTCAAAGTAACCGCGCCGATGTATTTAAAACAAGGATCAATCTCATTGTCCTGCTGGATACTACAATATAACTAAATATCAGTGACCGCCTTTTTTGCTGGAAGCAAACCACTGCCGGACCAGCCGGTGAGTATGCATTTCTGCCAGGACCCAATCAGTAAAGACGAAAGCTACGAAATATTTTTGGGATTTCGAGAGCTCAAACAAGGTGGCGCTGGTTTATAGGAGGGCATGTAAAGAGGAAAGGAGTAAGTCAAAGTAGCTGAGGTTACAGCATCCTTATCTGAGAAGTAGACGACGGCGACAATGAACTAAATCGCCGAGTAATAATCACGTCAAGAATCGACAACGATGGTGAAATCACGACCATTGACGAAGCAGGTACGGACTGACAAGCCATCATCACATCAACTATAACCTCCAGGGACGAACACGAGTACTGCTAATTATATTAGGCGTGTAGTCGCCTGGTAACAGTACCCTATTAATGTTGCGCAACTTTTACCTCCTACTGCCATCTTCTGTGACTGTATCAGAGTCCTGGCGAGAATCCGAAAGGTCGTGTCAATAAACTTCTTGTTTCAGTGATTGCATCTTTTCCTTTTTAACTATTATTACTACTACATACCTTACCCGGATAGCATTAGTGCGGCCCATAGGCCACTGGCCTGGTGGTTTATCCCTGGAGGTTATAGATGATGCGATGATGGCTTGTCGGTCCGTACCTGCTTCGTCAATGGTCGTGATTTCACCATCGTTGTCGATTCTTGGCGTGATGATTCCTCGGCGATTTAGTTCTTTGTCGCCGTGATTTGCACCGTTCCCCGCGTGGCCACTAATTTTGCTCAGGCAAAATTGCAACACAAAATAGGGAGGTGGGAGGTCATTGCGCTTCTTAATTAAGCGCGGGCCGGAGAATCCTGACTCAAGCAGGTAACGGCTCGCGCCGCGGTTGTCACATCTCGCGCGAGAATTTCGGCCTCGTCAATCTTGCCGTGGCTGGGTCCCGCGAAATCAGCATGCGAAGAAGCCCACCCCGTGTGCCAAGAGCAGGCGCAATGCCCGTGGATTAGTCTAGAGTGGGTTGGCTTTCGCTGCATATACTGCACTTTTTCCCTCCCTCACCCATCTGGTTCCGATAGCAATACGTAAACACGACCGGAGGTGGGTGTAGGAGCAGTGGCCGGCAAACCTAAACAGCATCTTTATGTCACAAGGCGGGACTTCCCCCCACAACATGTAATAGGGTTTCGTGCGGGGTAGCAAGCCATCGCAAGGAGTCATTACAGGCCGACTCAATCCTGTAATCAAAATACACCTATTGGGACTTCATTATCCTGTCGGTTGGCGGTCCTCCAAGTCACGACTATTAGCACATCAGATTTAATAACTGAGGAATGCGTTGATGTGCTGTAAGGATGGACTCCCGTGTCGGCTATATCCTCTCTTCACTATCTCATGCAGCAAACTATAGTGCCTTCAAGGAGACCTGCAAATATCGCATTTAATGAATAAAGATTGGTGGTACG